GTTTTGCATGTGAATGATGACCATTTAATAGCTTTTAATTTTGTTGTGTTTCTCAAAACAACCAAAAAGCACCTGAACCTATTCTGGTTACTATGAAAGATAAAAATATAAATCTAGAATTGAAAACCTTCCCTCCCTAACTACTCTCACACAGTCCCTCACCATCTCTCCTCCATACCTGCATGCTACTAAAGTTCCATAATGCAGAAATCTTTATTCGGTGTTGCTTCGTGTTACTTTGGTTTGAGCGTACATTTGGTGAGTGGTAGAATTGAAAACATAGTCTGTTGTTCTAATCACTTCTTGCTAGACTGCAGCTTAACAATAGCTCTTCCAGGGACAAATTGTTAGTAATTAAGTGGGGGATGCAGTGAGATGCGTGCAGTTCAGTGGTAATTATAAAACTGCTCATTTAGAGTGTTGCTCTGTAAACCCATTTAGATTACAGCGCTGCAATTAAATTGGCAAAAGACTATAATTACTAATACGACTCACAATATGCAGCCTCACATTGGATCTGGTTTTCCTCTTTATCTGTCAGAGCCAGTCTGGACGGCTTCTCATTAAACTCAGATCCTGGAGATATTAAAAGTACCAAAGCTTCATGTGTCACATTTGCGAAGCACTGGCTGCCATGTTCAGATGGAACAACTTGTCTCAACTATTTTAACACTTTTTAAGAATTTCTTTTTCCCCACAAACAAATCCTTACAGTAAATAAAAAATGGTTTGGTCTGGTATGTTTTTTCAACAATACAGTTCTATCTTTCCATTAAAGATCTTAAAATGACATCACCTCCTTCTCCATCATAGAAAGATCGATCATCTGTGTCTAATCTGTTCATTTCAAGTGTTGAACTGCTTGACACAAGATGTCTCCTACTTTGCCGAAAAGTCTATTCTCAGTGAATCTCAGTGATCTGAGAGTTTCTCGTTTCCACATGATACCTGCAGAAGATGCATGTCGTACCATAATTTGCTTTGAGACCAGTTGTGGTGTCAAAATCAGGCAGGTACGTCCAGGTGTTAAACAGAGATTAACATGTGAATTAACAGTAATCAAACCTAATTCTGAGTAACAGTGCTGCAACTTGAAGTGTCCAGTGTTGCACATGATGATGTAGCAAACCCTCTATGGGGCTTACCAATTTTCAAAACTGTCAGCCTGTCACAGATATATTGGTGTTGGTGTGTATATTCTCCAAAATGCACCAATATGAAAACTTTTTTACGGAACTGAAAATGCAGAAAACAATGCTTGCAGTGATTTAGAAATGGTGTCATCGTGTAGTTTGTCCAGCAGAGTGTGCTACGACTCCATTGTTTATGCTCTCAGTCTGGTGGGACAAAGTCAAGCGTTGCCTTCACAGTGAGTTGCCAACTAGTTTGTAACATACAAACTGGAAAGTGAATAAACAATGATCCCACAGTTTCTCTTTTCAAAATAACTAACATCACGTAAACTCTTATGTTTGCTTTGTTATCCAGCTGCAGGTGGTCAGTACAGTCTGTAATGTAGCAGATTTGAAAAAAATATATCAGGAAAGCCACCGTTTTAACAAACCTTATACTTACCACATCCACCACATAGACTATTTGTCTATATATTTATTTAATGCATATATAAATAAATGTACTTTTTCGATATTATTATATGTACAGCAGTATATTTATGCACACGTTGCCCCATAAAACTTACAAGTGGAGAAATGTTACGATTTAAACTCAGTTGCCACTTTATTAGTTCCACCTAGCTTTCAAAATTCCTTTCAAACAAGAACTGAACAATATAACCTTATTGTAGAGTTGTTTGATTAAACTTTTCTATTTTCTTAGTACCACCACACCATTAGTCCATGCACCAGGGCAACATGTAAGACTATAAATGCTTTAAATTTGGGCCCAATTTAAGTTAAATAAAAAGGAGTCAAAAGGGAAACTTTATCATTAAGTTGTAAAATAACAATTTAATTAAACAACAATGTGTTGTGAAACCTTCTTTGTTTCACTGAGACAGTCTGAATGTTTATATTCCTTAACTACATTTGGAGAACAAAACAGATTACATTTACAAGCAAAACTGAGAGGGAGAAACTTTGATGTACAGCTCATCTCATTCATGCACATATTGTAAGACGCTGCCATCCAGTGGTTCTACTGCAGAACAGCGTTCATGTCAAACTGACTTCTGCTGCTGAAGAGCAAGAATGAAGTCAGCGCTCCTCCGTTCTACGTGCAGGTTTGCCTGCTCAGCTTTATTTGCTGCTGTGATTAAAGAAACATTAGAACCATCTGAACAGAGATTTTGATCATTAGCATGGGGGGTTGCACAAAAATTGGACGAAAGGATCCTGTACATAAGCATTCCCTATGGGCCCCCCTCCCTGCATCCATGGTTATTCATTCTAGTATCTTTGTGGGCCCTTCTCACGTAAGGGTCTTGTATGCTCATCACTGGCAGGTCAGCGAGGTTTAAGATGTTAATATACGGCATATTCATAAGTACTTGTTATAAAAGTTTTCGTTAATCATGAGAAACGAAAGCCCGAATGTCAGTGAATCACTTCTAGACTAATTCACTTCATGTAGGGTGCATGATCTCTCCATCTCTGTGCTTTTGATCTGTGTCCATTGCACTAATTCTTTTATGCTTACTGTGAATTTTTGCACATTGCTTGTTAACATCCTGTAATATCCTATATTGTCTGTCTGTATTCCTGGATGGGATGAAAGAAATCCCGCAGAAGTAATACATAACTGTAAATATCCATTATTATAAATGGGGGGTAAGGGAAAGAACAAAATAAATTATAACAAACTGTTCTAATGGATCAAACGTGTAGCATGACTACATTGATGTAATACATTTATGAGAATTATACCAAATTATGAATTTTAATACTCAGAAAATATTAATTCACAAATTTCTCTCACCGGAGTTGTAATCAACCCAGAGTCTCCGGACCTCTTGGTAGCTTTTAATAATTATACAAATATTCACTAGTGATCAGTTAGTTAATAATCGCTCAATTATCTTAGATAAGTCAGTCAGTCAGTCTCATATCGAAGGGGTAAATTCTCATGGCAGGGACTCGGAGACAGGCATTACACACACAATTCCTTTGGTTAACTTACAGTGAAATTTATCATCTAACTGAGGAGAATATAAATGCGGTTACATGTACATCAGAGAAATAAACAGTGGCTAAACAATGAGAATGTGGAGGTCTATTGTGGGGAGAATTTCACTCATACGGGCAGAAAAGAACGAATGAAAGCAAGCTATGAGTTTTAAGAGTTAAAGATAATCTATTATCACTATGGGACATCACTGATCACAGAATTCAGGGTTTTGGTCTTACTGCTTTCGCTCCTCCCAGCCGGGTGCTGGTCAATGGCCTCACACTGGCGGAGATCCGTGCGTTCTTGGTTAGAAAAGCTTAAAGCCGTCGGCCAGTCGCTTTCTCTGCCAGGGAATTGCTCCGGAGCTCCGGCTTTTGTCGGCTTTAATGGAGAAACTTGTGGGGCCTTCCCAACCTTGTCTCGGGTCAGAAGTTTTAGCCGTCCTTTGTTACTGCTGGTGTGACCACGTGGTAGGTGTGACCTCAGTGAGATTAGCTCGACGAATCAAGCTTAAAAGAAAAGAACTTGGTCGTTCTTCAATTAAACTAGTGTACTTAACGGACTGATAACTTGAACAAAACCAAAGAAAATAAAAAGCAAGTATAGTTGCTGTTAAAGGAGGGAAAGCTGAGGTCGCGGCACTTCGCGTGTGTAGCTTGAAACAAACAAAAGCTTTTGTTGCGCCAGCTGAACTCCGAAGCGCCGTTGAAGCGCAGGACCAAGCAGAGGACAAGAGAGTGAATGACAGCATGTGTCGCGCTTTTGTTGGTTGGGGAGTGGTTCCCAGAGGCCAGTCCTTTGTCCCAAGAGGCTTTGTTTCCGGCTGAGAAGACAATAATTGATAACAGGAAAACAATTGTCAGTAGTTAGACCTTAAAAGGTTAGCATTTCAGAATGAAGGAACTTAACTAGCTTTCAGGGATATATTGGCTGTTACACGTACTTAGAGAATATAAGCAAGACACACGAAAGGCATCAAATTATGGACATGATAAATACCGAGTGACATTTATACATTAACGGCATTTCACATGATGGCCTGTAATACTTATTTTGTCCACTTGGGGCATCTCGGGATATATGAGGATAATTTTGGATTAACCCTAAAACAATCTTTGCTCAGGAGCTGGTAGATTTTGTTATTTTAACCTTAATTTTGAGCTGGAAAATTAATCGAGAATAGGATGACATTTCTTTATCATCATTTCTAAAGGAGGTGTCAAAAAGTATTATGAACAAGCGTTGATTACACATAAAATGAAGGAATGTCATTAAGCTTGCTGAAACTTAAAACACTGCAAAATTAATTTAGATTCTTTTCAACAACAATTAACAACAACAACATGGTAACATAACTACTCAAATGTAGTGGAGAGACCTAGTCTAGTAACTTTTAAAGATTTAATTAAACAGGGTAATGCTTTGAGTCTTGAGGAGACAGCAGTTCAGGGCTGTCCCTGGTGTCCTGGATTTTCTCACACCTGGGCGTGAAGAGGGGAATATCCCTTTGATGTGAGGTAGTTAAACAAAGAGCAAGGTCAGATGCCATGGTTACATGTGAGGGGGGCAGTTTAGGGTTTCCTGCCCTCTCTTACGAAGAGTTCTGATTGGCTGTTCAGGAAAACGCTAATCGCTGGTCATTGTTCCTTTGTCAGTTTAACAGTCAAGCACTGCGTTATCTGGCTGCGGTATCAGAGGTGGCAAGTTTTACAATCAGGCTTCTCAGAGACAGCACTTAGGGAGAGCGACCCTTTCAACTTTTCCTTTGGGTCTCTTCAGCCGTCTGTAGAGGGCTGATAATCAAACCCCCTCCTCGTTCTCTCTAGGAGAGAAGGATTCGGAGTAGTCTAAACTGATATAAAAAGCACAAATCCACACTGTTGGTACACAACAAATGCTTTCTGTTTCTGTTTCTACGTGCAGTATAAAGACCGCAGCTGCTACAAACAGCCTCAGAGTTTCCTGCTGCCAGATGTCAGGTAAGCTTTGCTGCAACCATTTTACTGTTTTGTACTGGGTCTGAATCTTCATCCAAATATACAGCAACAACTTAACTACAGTTAGTTTCTGACTTAATTGCAACTGATCAAAAATGACTGTTCGGTTCTGTGAAAATAACAGTGAAAACTAAAGAGATAATATCTATTTTCACCTTTAGGTTTTAAAGCACAGGGGAAAAGTCAGACCATGTCTACTCTGAACACAGAAGGACAAGAACCTGCAGGTACACTCGCACCACAGAATAACAGAAATTCAGCACCGATTATACAACACTGTAAATGTCACTTATTTTAAATGAGTAACATTTTAAAGCCTTGTCTTAAAACCAAAGTGGTCAAATTGTTGTGCTACTGACTTCTCTAATTCAAAATAGCTGGTAAGCAAAAAGATCTAAATATGTCTCTGTGTGCTCAATATTGTTCACTTTAGTTAAATACAGTACTTTGTCAGGATCTTGCAGGAAAGGTAACTCACTGTTTTGTATTAACTCACATAAAACCAGACCAATCTAACTGACAGAGAAGGCTTCCTGTCAGATTTAAGGAAGTGAACAGGAAATGTGTCAATTTCCGAGAAAAAGTGCATGCGCAACTTAAATGATGCGACGATCATAAAGCCCAGAGAAGCCATTTCACGTAAGAAAAACTGTCCGCACTCTGTTAATGAGCTGCCAGTATATAAATACAACATTTCATTGAGACAAACCTTGTGAAATATTTTAGACGTCTTGTGCATCATTTTAGAAACATTTCCCCAAAATTCAGCCTGACATATTGTGTATCATTGGAAACTTTGGGAACTCCACTAAAATATAAAATAAAGTTCTGTGGGTTTGAACCAAGCTCAGCTGCACAGCATAAGTTTATAATGACGAGATCACTGGCAGGTCATTGAGGTTTAAGATATTAATGTAAGGCATATTCATAAGTATTAAGAGTTAATCAAGGGACATAAGAGACCGAATGTTAGTGACCCACTTACTTCCTTTATTCATTGTAGACTAACTCACTTCATGTACCCTCTCTATATGTCTGTGCTCCATGAAACCAGGACTGTGACTTCAACTTAGTCTGGTTTATCAACCAATCCCTGTCTGTAATCCTGTAGGGGATGACAGAAATTCTGCACACAAAATATGTCACTGTAAATGTCACTTATTATAAGCTTTTTTCCTGACCTTAAAAGCTGTGTACAATTATAACAGTATTATTATTTTCATATTTTGAGGACCATTAAGATTAAATAATAAAAATAAAAAAATAAGTGGCATATTAATTAATTTACCAAATGGCATCTCACTGTCTACCAACAAAACTTTACAGCTGGAAGAACTGGGAGAACTTTGGGGTTTATACTCAGTCAGACTACTGATAACATATTGACTTGAAACATTTCCTTGTACAATCTCAGAAGGGAAAGAACAAAATAAATTCTAACAAACTGTTCTGATGGATCAAATGCTTTCTGTTTCTGTTTCTACGTGCAGTATAAAGACCGCAGCTGCTACAGACACAGCCTCAGAGTTTCCTGCCGCCAGATGTCGGGTAAGCTTAGTTTTAACCATTTTACTGTTTTGTACTAGGTCTGAATTTTCATCCAAATATATTGCAACAACTTAACTACAGTTAGTGAAGTGTTTTACACTGAAATTGAACTGAAATCACTGTATCCAGACTATGGATACTTTATGTGTTTTGACTGATCTGACTTAACTGCAACTGATCAAAAATTCACTGTTTGGTTCTATTCTAGTTTTTTTCAATTGCTAAAACATTAAAATCCATTAGCTGAACGAAGTTTGCACTTGCCTGAACTCATTTAGCTAATTGTGCAGTATGTTGTCAATACCTTAAACCATTTCACATGGTAAAACACGATATGCAGATCTCACTTAGACTTTTCAGCAGAACTCTAAACACATTCTGCACTATAATGCACATGCCATAAACACAAGTGGCAACAATCAAATACAAATGGAGAACACATGTCATTGATAAAACACAACCACTCACCACCAATATAAGCCAGCAAATTCTCTGGCCCTGAACATTGTGCTTTCCATTTGTTTACAGTACTAAATACTCAATAGAGTTTGACTGGTTGCAGGTATCAACAAAGAACAAGAATTACAGTATCACAGAAACAAAGGACACGTTTGTGAGATGCAGGGTACAGTACTGTAAAATTACGGGTACAAGGAGGAGGAAGAACAAAAAAAATTGCAAAGAGCAAAGCAGATTATAATTTCTGATCAATTTTGAGCTACTATGATAGAACATGTTTTCAATCATCAAAAAATATGAAATTTGTTTTGAGATAAAAAAAATGTAATTCTCCCTGAGAACTATTGTATTGGTGTAGAACTGGTGTATTGTTTACTGACTGCTTGATAGTGTATATTATTTTGATCGCTTTGTTTATGATTTGAGAGCAGTGTTTGGTTTTGAGCACAGGCAAAGCTGTTTTGAGGCGAAAGTTTAATTTTGCATGAGGAGTCAGAGGTTTTGTAAATAGTGCTTGAAGCTGAGGTTTTGTGTTGTAATGTTTTTAGAAAATGGAGCAAGGTTTCAGAAATTGTGTTTTAGGAAGTCAGAAAAAACTGTTTAAAAGTGGTTCTGTAAAACTAAAGAGATAATGTCTATTTTTCGTCTAGGTTTTAAAGCACAGGGGAGTTAAAGGAAAAGTCAGACCATGTCTACACTGAACACAGAAGGACAAGAGCCTGCAGGTACACTCGCACTTAGAATAACAGAAATTCAGCCCAAAAGTCAGTGACCCACTTCTAACTCACTTCATGCACAATCTCTCCATCTCTGTGCTCCATGCAAAGAGGACTTTGACTTCAGCCTAGTCTTTATCAACCAATCCCTGTCTGTAATCCTGAATGGATGAAAGACATTCAGCACAAATATACCTAACTGTAAATGTCACTCATTATATGTGAGTACAGTTTAAAAGCCTTGTCTTGTGGGCAAATGGTTGTGCTACTAACTTCTCTAATACAGAATATCTGATGTTTTCATGGAAAGCAAAAAGATTCAGCTGGTTTCTACGTCCCGGTTGTTACGTCCCGAGGTGTCAAGGGGTATTGGGACATAAACATAAACCGGATGTTGTTGGTTTGAAAGGATATTTATTTGAAGTAATGCAAATGGTGCACAGACAGAAAACGGAAAAAGTGTCCTGAAGATATTCCACCTCTCCTTTCATCAGTTCCCGTTTCGTCTGGTTTGCCTGGTACGGATGTTGCTTTATGGGGCGCGGGTCAGTCAGTTCAATATCATGCTGTATTACAGTCGTTTTGGTCGGTACATCACTGAACAAACAGGTGGAGTTGTTGACAAGGTTGATTACATCCTGTCGATGTTCAGCAGGTAAATGTAATAACTGGGACGGTAACTCTGCCATCGCCTCTGAATTAGGGAGTCGAGTTCCTAACTGGACTGGGTGACGCGGCCGCAGGTCATCACAGTCGGGGGAGAGCGCAGGATCAGTGCCGCGCTCTGGGAGGTGGGGTAATGAGTGAAGGAGCAGGTTCACCTACAGAGCGGTTACTATCCTCTCTAGGTTGATGTGTAGCGATGTGTAGCCGCTCACGGAAGTGGCTGACATAATCCAATACATTACTGACCGGCGACGATTTGAGAGACATAAACTGGTCATGCAATGTTTTAAACGGGGCACGGGGGTATGCCCAAACACGAGCTGAGCAGGGCTGAAGCCCAAAGACTCCTGAACGGCTTCACGCGCAGGGGACCCCCCTCCCCTGTTCCCCTGCGCGTATATGGCAACTACGGCAGAACTTTGCTACATCTGACTTTAACCCTGGCCAAAAGAAGTGCTTAAGAATGAGCTGATAAGTTTTCGTTACCCCCAAGTGTCCTGACCATTTGCTTTCGTGCGCAACTGATAACACATGCTGTCTATATAGAGAAGGCATGACTATCTGGTAAACAACATTCCAATCAGCATCAGTTTCTGGGAGAGGGGACCACCTGCGAACTAAGACATCCTGGCGCCCTTGTGTAACTGGAAGCGAATCTGAGCCGGGAGGATCCCGTGATTCAACCGCCTCAGGCAGAGTTTACGCATCGGTCTGCTCCTCGGTTCCCACCACCTCAGTCTCACCTGAAAACATTGGCATGACTACACTGTCGTTCGAAACATCTGCACTGTTGCACTCATCCTGGAGCAACCGTGTGCGTGCACGAGTGAGTCCACAAGCAGGAAACACTGAAGAGGACAGATTGTCTGTGGGGAACTCGCCGCACCGAGGAGAATCCAGCACCTCCAACGTGGGCGTCACCTTCCCTCCTGCAATATCATTCCCCAGTAGAAGTACAATACTCTGAATGGGTAGAGCGTCACAAACAGCACAGGAAAGAACCCTGTAACTAAGTCAGATTGAATGTGGATGCGGTGCACCGGATGTGGAATATAACCCATCTCAATGCAGCGGAGCACTGAACCGAACCCGCAAGCTGAACGTTCCGAAAAGGGCAATGCCGATGTCAAAATTACTGACTGGGAACACGCAGTATCCCTCAGTACCCGGACGGAGCGCTGATCCACAGGCAGGCCAGTGAGAGAAATGCATGCATCAAAAACAAACGGCTTAAAGCAGGCATCCAACTCATCGCATCTGTTACCCTCAATTCTTGTACTGAGCTGAGTTTTAATTAGACCGACGCCTTTAGGCTGGGAAGGGAGGGAAGACTGTTCTTTATGTTTCAAGGCAGGGCAGGCAGCAATAACATGACCGGTCAGATGACAGTAATAACATTTCCTCTCCTCCTTCTCCCCACCCTGTGTTTTGTGGACAGAGGGAGGCGGAACTGGTGCTCTACGTGGTCTGTCAGGGGAGTGAGCGAAAACAGTTTTGTGGATTAGTACATATTCATCTGCCGTTGTTGCTGCAGCAGCTAGAGTTGTTACCTTCTGCTCATTTAGGTACACAACGATGCGTTCTGGCAGGCACTTTTTAAAATCCTCCACCAGCAACAACTCTCTCAGAGCACTGTAGTTATCAGCAGAACAGGCCAAAGTCCATTTAGCGAATAACACCCCCTTCTCTCTCGCAAACTCAGTGTAAGTCTGGTTCTGTAACTTCCTATGACTCCTAAATTTCTGCCGGTAGGCCTCAGGAACTCGTTTGTAAATACGAAGAATGGCAGACTTAACCGACTCATAGTCTAAACTCTCTTCCAAAGAGACCGCTGCAATGGCTTCCTGGACCTTGCCATGGAGCTTACACTGGAGCAGTAGGCCAACAGAGGTGTGGCCACTGTAAGGCAACTGCAATGCGCTCAAATACACTAAAGTAAGAGTCAACCTCAGATTCACGGAACAACGGCACTAGAGCAATACGCTTGCTAACATTAAAGGCCAGAGAAATTGGACTAGCAGAATTTAGGGTGGAGGAGGCGGATGACATACCTGGTGCAGCAGCAGGCGGTCTTTGCCTCACCTGGGAGCTTTCAAGCTCGAGCTTCCGTAGCCTTACAGCCTTATCAGCCTCTACTTCCAGCTTTCTGATTTCAAGCTGAAGTTGCATGTGCTGCTGACGTTCCCTTTCTTGGGCCTCAAGCTGGAGACGGGCCAGGCAAACCTTTATACGGGCCCCATCTCTGGAACGAGCACTGCTCTCAGGGGAAGGGTCATAACGTGGCAGCATGACTGGTGTCTTTAACCCTCCACCGACCTCGCCGTCCCCCCTAGAGCCTGGTTGTGGCTTAAGGGTCTGCACCCCCTCGGTCTCCGTGGAGCCAGCCACAGGAAGCATTTCTAACTCTACTGCCACAGGTAATTCAAGCAGCCCTCTCTCCACCAATGTAGCCACAACTAACGGTTTCAGATCCCTTTTTAACATGGTTTTACTTACCGGAATCTGGAGGTGACTTGCTACTTTAACTAGGTCATCCTTCCTACAGGCGTGAACTTTGTCATGAGTCAGATTTACCACAAATGACTCCACATCAAAACGCTCAGAAGCCATGGCACCTACGCAATCAGCTGCACCAGCTTATCAATTAAGTGTGCTCCCTTACCCTATTTCAATAAATATTCTTTACACAAAGCGCACAGCACCCCTGAACCTGGTGAAAACTAACATAAAACAACTACGGTGTGTGCAAGAAAGGTGTCAGTTATCTCTAAAGCTTAAACCTGGCCCACTTCCTTACCTTCACACAGTCAAACACAGTCAAGTACACAAAGTCTGGCACAGGTAACAAAACACTACTTCTTCAAGCTCTGAGACATGTGTACCCAAGGCGAGCAACTCGGGTCGGATTGCTGCCCCGAACGGCAGACCCGGCAGGCTTTTAAACAGGTGGTGGTCGTCACTGTCACCCTTTGATTGGCCCGTAGTAGCACGCCGCACCAATCGATGGCATGGTCACCGGAAACCCAGGAAGTAGGCGGGATCTTCCCTCCTCGTGCAGCCAATCCTCCGGCCTGCTCAGCATACCAGATAGCCTACTCAAAAGCACAGGCAAATACAGGCGGGGGCGGTGTGGGGCGGCGGCAGCCGTAACACCGCGTTGTGTGGCCCCACAGGAGCAAGCGCACCAGAGTCTTCCAGCTAACTGACGGTTTAGCCCACCACTAACTTGAATAGTGATAAAATAATTTAGATCTTCTAAACTCTCCTAGACAATGTTATCGTACCGAACAGAATACATTTTGAAAGTGGAACAAATCATTTTGCGGGAGTTGTGATGCTCCAAAAATGTATCCACTGTTTTCTGCCACAGTGTAATTCAGGAAAATGTCTTTTGGGGCCAGTGGAAGTTGTTTGGCCTATGTCAAAGTGGCCTGGAGCACGGAGCACTTCCTGCGGGCTTCGTATGGGTATATAAAGTTAGCAGAGGGTTCTAGCCACAGTGACAAATACAACAAATGTCGTAGTTGCTTTAAAGCTGCAGTAGGCAACGATTGTACATACAATTCAGAACCTCTGTGTCTGCTGCTTGTATCACTCTGCTAAGCCCCTCCCACCAAACTCACAAGTTCATACGGCAGCTGAAAGAGCCAGTTGCCCTGCGAAACCTCATTCGGTGTAGGGCTCAGTCTCCACGGCGATAGTCTTGCCAAGACCTCGGCCCCTCCCGCTTTACTTCTCAAAGACGCCCCTCCACCACTTTGCAGCCCAGGGCAGAGCACACAAACCCTTGTTCCCCCACAAAGTTATTCCCCACTGTTTGTTATCATGCCTCTTTGCCACTTGCCGATATGAGCGCCATGGAACCGACCATAATGAGCCGGAAGCTCCCTGGGGTGCCGGGACATGATCACACACATGTTTTGTACCATTAGTTGTTGGTGGCAAAGGAGGGATGGACAGTTCTTTCATTGCTGCTAGTTGTTACTCAGACATTGTTTTTGTAAAACCTCTGAAGCTGCAAGCTTAAGATATTGAGCCTGACTGAGTAAAAACATGTGCGAGGAGGGGAGCTAGTTTTCTCCTTCACATATAAATCTCACACATGCAAAAGACCCCGGAAAAACGGGCGAATGCCAATAAGCACTAGATGTTACGTAACATCTGGGATGTTTGCGGTGTAGGTACCAGATGTGCTTCGGTAGTTAGATCTGCTTGGGGTCCTACGCCTGCCAGTAACGTCGCACTACATGATTGGCTGTACGTTGGTATGATGATGTGGCAGATTGTGATTGGCTATATGTCGGAGAGTTTACGGATGTAACTTTCACAGGTCAGAACTTTTGAAATACAGCATTACTTATCAGCTGTAAAAGCCCCGCGAGCAGAAAGTCCACAATTTGAATGGCGTCAATATTTGCCTTGCATTGCAAATGTTATCTGCTGATCAAGTAAAGCTAACGTGTGTGTGTGTGTGTGTTTGAGTGTCTTTTGTCATATTGCCAAAGCAAATGTGAAATCAAAGCAAAGACACCTATCACTAAAAAGAGACCCCGAGCAGATCTGATACCTACATCTGTAAATGGGCTGCAATGTAGTTTGTCCGAGTGGCGTTGGCGTAGTGTGACATTACTGGCAGGCGCAGGACACCCTAGCAGATCTGATCACCCAAGTCTGGTAGCCCAAAAGTTACATAGAACAGCCTACGTTCCAGAGAAGTGGTCAAATGAGCTCATGGAGCTGGAGGTTGTTCAGTGTGTCTCACAGAAAGCGCCTTTATGGGTTATGAAGGAAAGGTAAATATTTTCTAGCTAGTTGTAGCTAACGGCAGCTGCTGTTATCAGCTGGCTTTGAACCAGCGGTCCAAAACTTCTGTACTAATGTTCTGTACTAACACACCCCTGGAGCACCAAGCTTCCTGTCTGGGCAGAATCAGCATTAGCAGCAGCTGCTGATAGCAGTAAGTTAGCTGCTTTAGTAACCAGTAACATACAAACTCCGTAAAAACAGAAGGGAAAAACCAGTTTCATCAAAACCAGTGAATAAAGTTGTGTTTTTGTACAGTAATCAGTGAGGCCTAGTCTCACATAAGCAGCGTTTCGACCAAAAGAACTATAGGAACCTTTGGAGGAACTCACTGCATTCCCACCGGAGGGACCAGGTCTAAATGTAGTTCTGGGGTCCCCCAAAAAGTCACTGCTCGGGGGGGTAGTACTTTCCGAAAGTACCGGGTAGTAGAGGTTTCTGGCTTTAACCGGAGAATGTCGGGTGTTTGTCTGCTACTGCTCCTCTGCACCATTGTTTGCAAACCAATAAATCACAATCAGCTGGCAAATAGCCACGCAAGTCTTGCCTATGTCCGCCTGAGATCAAACGTCGGCATTAAATGTACTGCTTGGAAACAGCAGCCGGCGTGCAGTAGTGTGTTTACAGCGAACAGCTGATGGAGATACGCTAAATACTGGATCCAGAGTTGTTGTTTCAAGTTTTCATCAGTCAGAAAATCTTTACACAGAGCCAAAGTCGGTCTCCTCCTCTCAAAACAAGCGGAACAGCTGATTACAGCAGGTAATTAAGCTCGCTAAACATCATGTTCCTCTGAGCTCAGGACAAATACGGTGCCTTGCGAAAGTATTCGGCCCCCTTGAACTTTTCGACCTTTAGATCTTTACATAAAGATATAAAATTGTAATTTTTTGTGAAGAATCAACAACAAGTGGGACACAATCATGAAGTGGAACGAAATTTATTGGATATTTCAAACCTTTTTAACAAATAAAAAACTGAAAAATTGGGCGTGCAAAATTATTCAGCCCCTTTACTTTCAGTGCAGCAAACTCTCTCCAGAAGTTCAGTGAGGATCTCTGAATGATCCAATGTTGACCTAAATGACCTAATGATGATAAATAGAATCCACCTGTGTGAAATCAAGTCTCTGTATAAATGCACCTGCTCTGTGATCGTCTCAGAGGTCCGTTAAAAGCGCAGAGAGCATCATGAAGAATAAGGAACACACCAGGCAGGTCCGAGAGACTGTTGTGGAGAAGTTTAAAGCCGGATTTGGATACAAACAGATTTCCCTCTAAACCTTCAGCTCATACAAGGAGAAGACTGATCAGAGATGCAGCCAAGAGGCCCATGATCACTCTGGATGAACTGCAGAGATCTACAGCTGAGGTGGGAGACTCAACAATCGGTCGTATACTGCACAAATCTGGCCTTTATGGAAGAGTGGCAAGAAGAAAGCCATTTCTTTCTCTTGTTTAATGTTTGCCACAAGCCACCTGGGAGACACACCAAACATGTGGAAGAAGGTGCTCTGGTAAATGTAAAATGCTCCGTACTTGTATAGCGCCTTTCTAGTCTTTTCGACCACTCAAAGCGCTTTTACACTACATCTGCATTCACCAGTCACACACATTCATACACTGAGCCTAAGTGCTCAAACGGAAACTAACATTCACACTCACTCATACACTGGCGGAATAGCCGCCAGGGGCAATTCGGGGTTCAGTATCTTGTCCAAGGACACTTCGACATGCAACCAGGGGGAGGGATTGAACCGCTGACCTTCCGATTAACGGCCAACCCGCTCTACCTCCTGAGCCACAGCCGCCCCATCAGATGAAACCAAAATCGAACTTTTTGGCAACAATGCAAAACGTTATGTTTGGTGTAAAGGCAACACAGCTCATCACCCTGAACACACCATCCCCACTGTCAAACATGGTGGTGGCAGCATCACGGTTTGGGCCTGCTTTTCTTCAGCAGGGACAGGGAAGATGGTTAAAATTGATGGGAAGATGGATGAAGCCAAATACAGGACCATTCTGGAAGAAAACCTGATGGAGTCTGCAAAAGACCTGAGACTGGGACGGAGATTTGTCTTCCAACAAGACAATGATCCAAAACATAAAGCAAAATCTACACTGGAATGGTTCACAAATAAACATATCCAGGTGTTAGAATGGCCAAGTCAAAGTCCAGACCTGAATCCAATCGAATCTGTGGAAAGAACTGAAAACTGCTGTTCACAAACGCTCTCCATCCAACCTCACTGAGCTCGAGCTGATTTGCAAGGAGGAATGGGCAAAAATTTCAGTCTCTCGATGTGCAAAACTGATAGCGACGTACCCCAAGTGACTTACAGCTGTAATCGCAGCAAAGGTGGCGCTACAAAGTATTAACGTAAAGGGGCTGAATAATTTTGCACGCCCAATTTTTAAGTTTTTTTATTTGTTAAAAAAGTTTGAAATATCCAATAAATTTCGTTCCACTTCATGATTGCCACTTGTTCTTGGTTCTTCACAAAAAATTACAGTTTTATATCTTTATGTTTGAAGCCTGCAATGTGGCAAAAGGTCGAAAAGTTCAAGGAGGCCGAATACTTTCGCAAGGCACTGTACATGTGCTGCCATCTGATCTGCAGCTCTTGTCGCTGTAAATGTTGTAATCTTGCAAACTGTTGTGATTTTATTTTTCTGTTGCTTTCTCTGTGCAGGAGTTATTTTAAGAACTTCATGGCTTTATGTGTAACAAACTTTATCGCGTGTCTCCTACACAAAAGCCGCTTTAATGGTCAAGCTAAGCCTATAGTTTTTTGTTATATTCCAGTCAAATCTGATGTTCATTTATAAATGTTGCTCATGGATAGTGGTTATAAATAATGATGCCTGTGCATCGCTCTGTATGACATAAAGGCCTACAGCCTACATCAGCTGGTTAACTTGCCTAATCTTCGCAGGTCTTTAGACCGCGGTGGAAACTAGGGATGTACATATCGATTATTTTTCAAGTCGATTAATCTAACGACTAATTTTGTTTATTCTAAAGAAAGAAAAGTTGCCTATTACTCAATTCAAATACCAATTTATCCAAAATAAATATCAAACACATGTCTAATCAATAAATCTATATTTTATTCAATCATCCTGATGAAGCACATCAGTATAATGACAATAGTAGCAAATCTTAAAATTAATCAAATTTCCACGTCACTGATGTGTTGTGATAATAACAAACACAGACATTAATCAGGCTACTTTACTTAAAACTTTAAATGTTTCTGACATTGATTAATTTCAATATTGAGTAACGCAGTATGATAATAAAATGTATTTCTGCATCAGTGAACACCTGAAAGGAGGAAAACAACTTCCTTTGCAAGGAAATAACTGGAAAAAACTAGTTACAGAAGGAAGCCTTGAAGAATATAAATCTCAGCTACAGGCAGAAAAACTAAAAATCAGGGAGCAGCAAAGCAAACAAAAACTGTCCGAAGTAATGAAGAGTTTTATTGAAACCTTATCTACAAATGACAAAGAGAAAAGAGATTTCTTTCTTAAATTAATGAAATTCAGGTTGAATACACATTCCTGGGACAAACTGACTTAAAACTTTAAATGTTTCTGACATGGATTCATTTCAATATTGAGTAACGCAGTATGATAATAAAATGTATTTCTGCATCAGTGAACACCTGAAAGGACTCACAGACTGTCACAGATCGTCTGTAATCAGATTCAGCTGTTTTCTCGCTCATACGTGGCCGTTAAATAAACAGAAAATATGAAACAGCCGATCGTTACATGACACGCGGTGTAACATTACGTTACCATGACAGCAGCGGGGCAGAAATTACTTTTAATATGAAGGCAATAACCATTTTAACGGACTACGTGTCCTTGTGCTGATAATGTGCCCAGCCCTAGTGGAAACGCACACAACAATGGGCTGAAGGAACCTTTTAATTCCTTGATAAGAGATTTGGGGACTTATAAGTCCCCGGTACTTTTGGTCAAAAAGCGGCTATAGCAGGCCTTGATTGAGGGCTACCTGTTGTTAATTTCTAAAAATGATCTTCTCTATCTTTGACAGACCTATTCAAGTTTCTGTCCAAACTTGGACTGAAGAAATTTCATCCCAACAAGCTCACTCTTCAGTCTCTCTTGGAGATCAACAAAAACAGTATATATGATGAAACAGTTCAATCAGTGGAGGACGTACCATGGTGCTTTCTCAGGAAACTATTTAAAATCAATGCAGAATGCAGGAACTGTACACAATTATCAGATGATGATGACGACTACGACTACGACGACGACGACTCTGCTGAGCATAATGAGGTTAACCCTCTGGACCTCATAGCAGCACTCTTCCTTTGTGCTGACAGCTTCTTGCAACAGGAAATGGCCCTCAAGATGTCAATGTGTCAGTTTCCTGTCCCGCTGCTGTTGCCCCGTGGCAATAACAGTCAGTGTACCCTGATGCTGTGGGCTCTGAGAGGCATCGTCAAAGAGTGGCGTCCACATGATTTGTCTGAATCTAGAGGGTTTGTTGAAGACAGCATTGTCCAAGCAGATATACCTTTCTATTCCTTTGTGAGGCTGAAAAACTGCAGTTTATCCAAGTCCCAGATTCTGAATCATGTGCTCAGCCGTGGGCAGCAGAATCACAACATGTTCATACACAGAGAGATGGAAGGAGGAGCTCAGGAAAGGAAGATTGCCAATGGATTGGTGGAGGTTTGCTGGTTCCTTCCATGTGGTTCTGAAAATCTTGACAAATTTCCAAAACCAGTTGCCTTTGCCAATCTGAGAGGAGACATTGGTCAGTCACTCGCACAGTTCAGTTTTCTTTTTCATGTGTCCACTGCTACTTTTGTATTCCTGGACAAAGTTGAAGAAAATGAGCACAAGATTCTGACTTCACTTCAAGATGTGAAATCCAAACTGTTCTTGGTGGTTAACCACAAGGAGGGGAATGTTGCAGAGGACATGATGTCTGTCCAGGCAACACTGAGAGAATTAGATTTACCAAAGACCAGTGTGAAAACCAAAGGCCCCAGGGTAAATGTTGCAGAGTTTTCAAAGAAACTTTGTACAGCCATCAAGAAATCACTGCCAGATGTAAAAAGCACAACAAGTATTGAAAGTATGTTTGATAAAGCTGTTGAACTTGGTCTGTCTGTTGATGAAAGAAAAACTGGTGAACAAAAGAAATTAATTGATGACATTATGGCTGGTATGGGAGTCAGGGTGCAGAACATACCAGACTACAAGAAACAACAGCTTCCTTTGCAAGGAAATAACTGGAAAAAACTATCAGAGTTACAGAAGGAAGAATGTCGGATGAAAGGAGCTGGTGAATCAAGCCTTGAAGAGTATAAATCTCAGCTACAGGCAGAAATACAAAAAGTCAGGGAGCAGCAAAGCAAACAAAAACTGTCCAAAGTGATGAAGAGTTTTATTGAAACCTTATCCACAAGTGACAAAGAGAACAGAGATTTCTTTCTTAAATTAATGAAATTCAGGTTGAACACACATTCCCGGGACAAACTGACTGAGCTGCGTATCAAATTCAAAGAGCAATGCAAACAGAAAGATACAAAACTCATTGCAGAGTTGGATCAGGCTTTGCTGGACAGCTCTTTAGGAATAGAGCATTACATGAGAGAGATGGGACTGATCTATGAGTTTTCCTCTCAGTCACCAGACAGTGCTGATAAAATGTCTCATCTCCCTGGCATGGCTGCTGAAATGCTGCTGGATGGACATCCTTTAGAGCTCTTGGATGGAGATGCTTCCAACATCCCAGAGAGGTGGGTGACAGATGTGCTAATGGAGCTTCACAAGAAGGTTGGAGGGAGGAGCAGACTGTTGGTCCTGACTGTGTTGGGCGTTCAAAATACCGGGAAGTCAACACTCCTCAACACCATGTTTGGTGTGCAGTTTCCTGTCAGCAGCGGCCGATGCACAAGAGGAGCTTATATGCTCTTCCTCAGAGTCGGTGAGGATATGAAATGTGACTTGAATTTTAACTTCATACTTCTCATTGACACAGAGGGTCTTAAGTCTCCTCATTTGGCACAACTAGAGGACAGTTATGAGCATGACAACCAGCTGGCAACCTTGGTCATTGGTTTAAGTGACGTCACCATGATCAATGTGGCAATGGAGAACTCAACAGAGATGAAAGGTGTCCTGCAAATTGCAGCTCCTGCATTCTTGAGAATGAAGGAAATTGGAAAAAAGCCAGTTTGTCATTTTGTGCACCAAAATGTTTCTGGAGTCTCAGCTCACGAAAAGAGCATGACAGAAAGAAAACATCTCTTGGACCAACTCAATGAAATGACTCAGATTGCAGCTGAAATGGAAAAACAGCCTTCTATAAAGGCCTTCACAGACGTGCTGGACTATGACGTGGAACAAAACAACTGGAACATCCCAGGACTCTGGCACGGGACCCCACCAATGGCACCAGTGAACACAGGTTACAGTGAGACTGTAGCTGATTTGAAGAAAAATCTTTTGGAGTCAGTGAAAAGAGACAGAAGCGATAACGTGTCACAGATCCCAGAGTTTCTAGAATGGATGAGAAGTCTCTGGAAAGCAGTCAAATATGAGAACTTCATCTTTAGTTTCAGAAACACTCTTGTGGCTCAAGCCTATGACAACCTTTGCAAAGAGTTCAGTCAGTGGGAATGGGAGTTCAGGAAAGAGATTCTCTCCTGGAAAAAAGAAGCAGAGTTGGAAATCATAAATGCTGACAGCGAATCTCAATTGGAAACTTGGAACATGGTTGAATCAAAAAAATCACAGTAGTCCAAAGAAATAGCAGACCAACAAAAAATACTGGAGAACAAAATTGAGAAATACTACAAAAGGAAAGACAGACACGTAAATCTGATAGAGAAATTCAAAACAGAGTTTTTAAAGAGTATCAACAGTCTTGCAAAGGAAATCAAAAATTCTGTGTGTGCTGAATTGGAATTTGTCCTTCAGCTAAAGATAGGAATAAAAAAGGCTCAGAACATACAGAGGGAGTACAGAAGCAAGATCGAAGAGCAGGTCATGAAGCTCCTGAGTGACTGCAAAGACTCCACACTGACCGATGAACAGCTGACACAAGAGTTTGAAAAGATGTGGGCTCAAGCCACTGAACATGTACCACGCCTGAAAGAACGAGATATACCTGGACTTATTCTCAGCCAACTGAGAAAAAATTTCTCTAATCGGAATGTAAATGAGAAATTGCAAAACACTGACAAGCTAATGGAAATTGGGAAGGGTCCATTCAAGATCAGAATTGACCATACAGACTCCTATATGAAGAAGATTCAAAATATGTTGATGGGAGATTTACAGAGCTTTGCAGACAGTATCATTGAGATTTCCAGACGCTTTATTCTTGTTAAAATTCCGACAAATAGAGATTACCATGACTCTTTCACACGAGATCTTCTGGAAAACATAGATGTACGTCTACAACAGAGCTACGAGCGCTACAAAACAAATACACAGTTTGAGATTGACCTGAAACTTCACATTTGTGGCATTGCATCAAGGGAATTCCTAAAAATGCACCAAAACTTCTTGTCAGCCAACGATCCACGTATTCAGCTGGAGAAGTACAAGAATCAGTACTTGTCAGATTTTCTTGATTTATACAAACAGAGAGATCACTGCCAACGCAAAGCAACTGATTTTGTCAGATGTTGGCTCAAACCTGCTGTTTAAGAGTACATCAGCAGATCTCTGGGAATAGACATCGTGGATAAAATTTTGACAAGTTCCCATTCAGCAGAGTACAGTTCTCGCTCCTTTTTCCAGTACAACATCCAGAGAGAGCTGCTGGAAAAGGAAGACTTTGAGAGTTTTGTCAAGTACATTTGTAAGTATGAAATATATGTTAAGGAGTGGATATTTCAGCACATCCTGCAAAACATGTCAAAAGACCAAACTTTGTGCAAACTGAAGAAGAAGAATCTGCAGGTCATAGTTGACAAAATAACAGAAGCAAGAGAACGAGCCTCAAAAGGAGAGGATGGTGATCTGCTGCCAGATAACAAGGAAAGCATCACAGAGCTCATCAGCAACATGCGCAAATATTTAATTAAAGACGTCTCAATTTCAGCGGAGGCTGAAAAAACCACCCTTTTTCAAATCCAAAGCACATGCCATCCATTTACAAAGAGCCTCGTTAGATCATTGAGTGAACTGAAGGAAGAGCTGCAGGAGGAATTCTCAAGCTCTGAAGACATCACTGAGACTCTGAGAAAACTTCCAATCAATCCACAGGACGAGCTTTTCAAGAGGGTGTTTGGCTGTGGACGACAGTGTCCATTTTGTAAAGTTCCCTGTGAGGCTGGAGGCAAAGACCACAGGCAACATCATGCAGCTGTGCATCGGCCACAAGCTCTTGGTGGATACAGATCTGTACGCCCTGACAAGCTGGTTGAAACTCTGTGTACAACAAATGTGCACGGTGAACGTAAATTCAGAAACACAGACACTAAAGGGGAGTGGCATCCTTACCAGCAGTACACCACGTACTATCCAGACTGGCACATTCCTCCAGACCCCAGCATAGAGGCATCTGACTACTGGAAGTATGTCCTGGTAAAATACAACGACAGATTTGCTAAAGAATACGAAGCAAAGCCAGCTGATGTTCCAGAGGCCTGGAGGAGAATCACAAAGGAACAAGCACTGAAGGGATTAAAAGATGCCTTCAACATAAAGTGAACAACTCACAATCCGGACAAACATCTTTAAACAAAACAACATTTAAACATGCAAGAGTTTTTATATACAAACGTACACTTTGGAGAAGACCAAAGGATACAGAGACTGAACATGTTAGTGCATCCAGCAGAGAAATCAGTCAAATTAAAGACAGATCAATACTGTTGAAAATGACGAACTTGGCTGCACCCTTATCTTTACTTAGAAAACTAGACCTCTTCAACCTAATTCAGTGCAACGACAAACAACTCAGATATTTTGTTAATGAATCTGACTTTGTGGCTCAAATAAGAACTAAACCAGCGACTGAGAGTGAAAACTGTGGCTTCTTTGGTCTGGTGAACATGATGAATGACAAATGATGAGTTGAACAAGTTGCAGGAGATGAAAGGCTGGAGCTTTTAAACATTTCCTGTTCTGTATCTTTATTATTCAGTTTTAATTTTTTAATATTAAAAATGTTTGTTTTCTTCCTCAGTTCTCTTTAGACCCTTGACCCTTTTAGACAATGAAAATGATAAAGACAAAGATGATGTAATGCAAACATAATTTAAAAGTTTAATAGTTTTTATGTCTCTTATTTTTATTTTAGTTTGTGATGAAAATAAAAAACTTTTTTTCCTACGTATAATAACTGCTGTGGACAATTATGTTGCTGGACCTCAAAAACCAGTCAGTAAATCTCAAATATAGAAACAAAAGACTTTTGATGCTGACCTGCTTTGTTTTTACCTGTCTTACCTTTTTTGCATTATTCTTGTGATGACATTGTGTTTTGTAATACATGTCACACTTACATTTTTATATTTCTTGCTAAATGTAACCTGAAAAAGTAAATGAACCAGCTTTAGTTGAAATGTATTCACGTTGATGCCAGTGACTTTTTGTTTTATGCACACATCATGAGGAATCCTTTCATGCTTTGTTAAAGATTAACTTTTCATTCTTTTAGACAGATGAAGATGTTTTAATCAGGTTTTTATCTCTGAATTAATGACTACTTTAACATGTTTTTTTCTGATTAGTATGAAAGTAACAGTGACTTATCTTGCTACACAGCTCTGTATTAGTAGTTCTAACGATAATGATGCTGTTGATGACGATGATGATGATGAAGTGAAAGTACACAGGCCATGTAAAACAGATGTATTTTACTATCATCTCAATCCTTTAATGTTCTTTACTGTTTGATTGCTAACAGGTAAATGCCACACATTTTTCTGTTTTATTTTTTGATGAAGTCAGTGAGTAGAAATGTTTATGTTGATGTAACTGACTTTGATGCTCATGTTAAAAATGGCCTAAATTCAATTCAATTTCAATTCAGTTTTATTTATATAGCGCCAAATCACAACAACAGTTATCTCACAGCGCTTTTCATAAAAGAGCAGGTCTAGACCGTACTCTGTGATGTTATTTACAGAAGCCCAACAGTTCCCACCAAGAGCAGCACTAGGCGACAGAGGCAAGGAAAAACTTCCTTTAAGAGGCAGAAACCTCGAGCAGAACCATGGCTCAGGGTGGGCGGCCATCTGCCTCGACCGGTTGGGGTGAGAGAGAGAGAGAGAGAGAGATGTAAGGAGAGAGAGAGGGGAGGGAGGCAGCCTACACAATATACACACAGAGGTACACACAGTGAAGGTAATGCTGCTATAGACCAAATGAAAAATGGTACAGATATTTATAATAGTGTTAATGGTAACCATCGTAATGTTAATGATTATAATAACAATAATAACAATAAGACTAGCAACAATAGTCGTTGCAGCAGAGGGTGTCGAGCAGGAACACGGGGGCAGCAGGTGACCCGCAACCACAGATCCAGACTCCACAGCTCCAGAGCCAGAAAACCTGCAGGAAGTGATAGGAGAGAGGAGAGGGACGAGAAAGCACAAGACTACCAGAAAGGGGAGAAGTTGTGTTAGTAACATGCAATAATGGGATAAGGTTGCATACAGAGGGAGAGAAAGTAGAGGAGAGAGGAGCTCAGTGCATCATGGGAAATCCCCCGGCAGTCTAGGCCTATAGCAGCATAACTAAGGGATGGTTCAGGACTACCTGAGCCAGCCCTAACTATAAGCTTTATCAAAGAGGAAAGTCTTAAGCCTACTCTTAAATGTGGAGATGGTGTCTGCCTCCTGAACCCAAACTGGAACCTGGTTCCACAGGAGAGGAGCTTGATAGCTGAACGCTCTGGCTCCTAGTCTACTTTTGGAGACTCTAGGAACCACAAGTAACCCTGCATTCTGGGAGCGCAGTGCTCTGGTGGGGTAGTAAGGTACTATGAGCTCTTTAAGATAAGATGGTGCCTGACCATTAAGAGCTTTGTAGGTAAGAAGAATGATTTTAAATTCTATTCTGGATTTTACTGGAAGCCAATGCAAAGAAGCTAAAACAGGAGAAATGTGATCTCTTTTCCTGGTTCCTGTCAGAATTTCAGTCAGGAGATGACACGGTGAGCGTTTGTGTAATCTCGTGAGACTTGGTGCAATTCAAACATGGCAGCGCGCAGCTAAACAAATAATTCATTAAACAAACAATCCGCCAATTTTAAGCGAATTAATAAATAAGAGCAGTCAAATCGCACTGGAGGACCTCGAGGACGAGTGTTTGGAGGACCTTGAAGTTTATATTGACCAGTGTTTTCATCGAGTGGTCATGGGGAAATCAAAAAGAAACCGCACTGAAGACTCACCTGGAGCATCACCTGGAGCAGTCTCCTCGCAAGGTGCAGATTTTACAGAGATTCTGGATTCAATAGACAAGAAATTGTCCAGCTTTGATGCCCGATTATCTCTTGTGGAAGTACTTCACAAAGAGTTTCAGGCTCTGCGGGAATCCCTGGAGTTCAGCCAGAAACAGGTGGTTGAGCTCGCGGCGGAAAACAAGGTCCTCAAAGGTTCGGTTAAATCCCTCACGGAGGGAATGACGCGGCTCTCGGCAGACAATAAAAACATTAGAGAAGCGATCATCGATCTCCAGGCTCGTAGTATGCGGGATAATCTGGTCATTTCGGGTATCCCGGAGCAGGCGGATGAAACCCCAGAGGAGACCGTTAAAAGCTTCATCCAAAATCAACTGAAGCTCCCGGCCGAGACCGTAAAGAACATCAGCTTCCACCGGGTGCACCGCCTGGGAGGACGGCGACAGGAGAACCAGAGGCCCAGGCCCATCGTCGCGAAGTTTGAACACTTCAAGCAGAAGGAACTGGTTAAAGGCCGCGGCAGGGAGCTGAGAGGGACCAACTTCAGCGTTAACGACCAGTTTCCCCGGGAGATCCTGGACCGACGCCGAGTCCTGTTCCCGATAAGAAAGAAGCTTATTGGAGAAGGATCACGGGCTGTCATCGCTGTGGATAAACTTTACGTCGATGGCCAGCTGTACCGCGACCGAGACACCACTCCTTGGCTCTACTAAGAACCAAGTCCAGCAACAGGTGAACTGTATCACTATGCGATCATTTTTTCCCCTCTCAGTTAACAACTCCGTGACATATGGCAAGTTAATAGTTATAAAATACAGTGCACGTCTCAACAGCCTATACTGTGGTTATCTGACTAGTCTGTCCGATAATGTTTTGTGTATTTTCCCCTGTTTTTGTTTCACTATTTCTTTCTTTTGTTAATGTTGCTCTTCCTCCGCCGTTTACACATCGATCAGCTGCGCAATTTTCATACTGTTTAATTCACAAACAGTCGGGCACACCGCTAGCACACACACGCAGGCGCGTACAACATGAACACATAGACACACACATACAGGCGCATACAACACACACAATGATACAACACGCACACTGCACACACTAGCCATCACCACATCCCTTAGTTGAATGATGACCTCACTTATAATCACCTCTTGGAATGTATGCGGAGTTGGTTCAAGGGAAAAGAGATTAAAATTTTTTAACCATCTAAATAATCTGCAAGCAGACATTGTCCTACTACAGGAGACTCATTTACCCAAGACAGCAGATAAACTAACCTCACCACAGTTTCCTCACTCATACTCAGCCTGTTATAACTCAAAACAAAGGGGTGTCACCATTATGATAAATAGAAAAACACACTTCAATCATAATAACACTACTATTGATCCAGAGGGTCGATTCATTATTGTTAACATTTCGATTCAAAATACTCCTTTATGCATTGCTAACATCTATGGCCCAAATGTTGACGACCCCTCCTTTTTTCATGCTTTCTTCAACTCACTCTCTGCTCACTCAGACACAGCTCTTATATTAGGAGGGGACTTCAACATGGTATGTAATCCAGCAGTTGACAGGCTCAGTACGGCAGGTGGTCACCGTATTTGGAAATCAACAGACATCCTTAAACAATACATGAGCGATTTTGGTCTTTGTGATGTTTGGCGTTCTCACCACCCCACTCTTAGAGAATATACCTTCTTTTCACCAGTCCACCACTCATTTTCTCGCCTTGACTATTTTTTGGTTAGCAGCTCAATTATGACAGACATTTCCAACACTCAGATTCACCCTATCACTATCAGTGATCATGCACCGGTTTCTATCACTCTTACTAAAAAAAGGGTCACACAGCCAACTAGAAGTTGGAGATTTAACGCATCATTGCTTAAAGACCTAGATTTTATAAATTACTTCAAAAAGGAGTGGGCAATATATATGGAAACTAATGACCTGCCAGGAACCTCGCCATGTCTTCTTTGGGAGGCAGCAAAAGCAGTCATGAGAGGTAAAATAATCTCCTATTCATCATACAAAAAAAAGAAGAGCGATCTTGTGAATTACAGCTAGAACAAAAAATAAAAACATTAGAAACTACCCTTGCTGCCTCCCCACAGGAACACATGCTGAATGATCTGAGAAAATCAAAACTTGAATTAAATGAAATTATTAATAAAAAGACCCAATTTCAGTTGCAAAGACTACGCTTGGAGAACTTTGAACATGGCAATAGATCCAGCAGATTCTTAGCCAGCCAATTGAAATTGAATAAAGAAAAAATAACTATTTCTTCCTTAAAGGACTCAGCTGGGAATCTGACTTATAACCCAGAAGAAATCAATAATGCATTCAGAGATTATTATAAAAACTTATATACATCACAAATTGACCCATCTAGCTCTAACATCGATGCATTTCTGAACAATATAGATTTGCCAAGGTTAGATGATGACCAGATCAGGGCTCTGGATTCACCTGTTTCAATGGCTGAACTCCAGGAAGCTCTCTTACATATGCCGAATAATAAAGCCCCTGGGCCAGATGGTTTTCCCGCTGAACTCTATAAGGAATTCTGGGAAATACTTGCGCCCACATTCTATAGGATGGTTATGCAAATTAGGGGTACTTGCATGTTGCCTCCAACAATGAATTCTGCTAATATCAGCCTGCTCCTTAAACCAGACAAAGACCCCACACTCCCGTCCAGTTATCGCCCAATATCACTTATTAACGCAGATCTTAAAATCATCTGCAAAACCCTAGCAAGAAGGCTAGAGAAGGTCACTCCTGGTATAATACACTCTGACCAAACAGGATTTATTAAGGGTAGGCACTCCACCAACAATACACGCAGGCTACTTAACGTAATAGACTATGCCACTATTCATAACCTGGAAACTATAGTTGTTTCTTTAGATGCAGAGAAAGCATTTGACAGAGTAAATTGGAAATTTCTATTCGCTACTTTATATAAATTTGGATTTGGAAACTCTTTCATAGATTGGATTAAAATCTTATACAGTTCCCCAAGAGCTTCTGTCAAAACAAATGATCATACTTCTCCATGCTTTAGTCTCCAGAGGGGTACCAGGCAGGGTTGCCCACTCTCTCCCTCGCTATTTGCTATTTTTATAGAACCACTAGCAGCTGCGATCAGACAAAATAATAATATTAAAGGAATTCAAACAGAAAATATACACCATAAGATAAGCCTTTATGCAGATGATGTATTACTTTTCCTCCTAAACTCACAAACTTCTCTTTCTGAGACAATCACACTTATAGATAAATTCTCATCCATCTCAGACTACTCCATTAACTGGAGTAAATCCATAGTTTTACCTGTAAAGTGTGATTTCCAGAGTATATCTACCACACCGCTAAAGTCTGGGAATATTAAATATCTGGGTGTCAATATTTCCTCCAGGCTGTCAGAACTGACATGGCTAAACTACACGCCTTTACTTAAATCTATAGAGGATGACCTTGTACGGTGGACATCATTACCTATATCACTCATGGGAAGAGTCTCCACCATAAAAATGATGGTCCTACCTAAAATCAATTATCTGTTTTCAATGTTACCCACC